ATATGTCAACAAATATATGTATTAAACAACACAATTTTACAATGGACATAGACAATAACATTTGCGTGTGTGTGTACGTTTGTATTTGTTTTTTGGTGAATGTTCTCTGTTGAATGTTCATATTTTGTTGAATGTTCGTACGTACGTGTATGTGTGTATAATATTCATGGCGTCTCCCACAAATGGGAAGACGCGGATTTTCTAAGTGACCTTACATTGCAGTCGCTCAAATGAAGAAATGAAAAAGAACGAGGCGAGAAGTCGCCCAGTATATATATAGGGAGAGAGACCCCTAGTGAATAATTAGGGAATTAAGGAGGAGCTAACTCCGACAATAGTGTCCATCATATAACTTATTCATAAAGGAAATTTAAAATTTTCTAATTAAATAATATCTTAGTTTTATCGCATTTTTATCTTACAGATTCAGAGCGGATGTTTGGTAACTGGGAGTCCTGCTTTGCAAAAAATATCTATGATTTAAATTCTCCAAAGATTTCTGCGTACAACTAGTATACATTAAGCGGTACAAAAATTAATTTCTCTGACATTCACTAAATACACATACATTGGACCATAAGGTTTTCACATCCATTTGACGCACACATCTTTGTCATTGTAACCCTTTATTGATAATACATTACCATTTGTTTGTACATATAAATTGGTTCTTGACGTTTTTTTACGTGGACTCACATCCCGAGTCCGCCATGCTTGTTGTGGGCATTTCAAGAGACACACGTGTTTATCTCTCAACGGATACACCAGCCCGATCAGTGGTACATATGTAATAGTATTGCTTAATTGTTTGAATTCTGAGTTGAAGTATCTTCATTTTTAAAAGTTGGTGTTATGCTTACTTTATCTTATCGTTATTTTTATCAGTTTCCTAAATCGAACAATAAGATGACGAAAAGACGAGATAAAAAGTGAACTGCGAAAACACTTTCTCCCAGAATACAAATGTTTTAAACCAAATTCGATTTCTGAACGTTCAATCACTTAGGAAATTAACGGCAAGAATTCTACGCACACAGGAGAAAATATAGCCTCGTTCTGGCTTATCAACATTTGTTCTAATAAAAAGCAATCAATAACCACAGGTGGTGATCAAATATCAAAAGAGAAGAAAACAAAAAAAAAATGGCAGAATGATTGAAAAGAAACAAAGAAAGAAAAAAACAAATAAATGGGAATGAGGTATTTTATACCAGATCGGGTCATGGTCAACATAGAGGTTTGTTAAAAGAATGAAAAATTGAAAATGAAATAGTAAACGTGATATAGAAAACACAAAAGAAAGAGACAAATAGTTTGAATAAGGCTATGAAAAAAATTAAAACATTTTCCCTCATTATGGGATGTATGGGAAGCGTAAATGTTACCAGTGTAGAAAGTGGAAACGGCAATCCGAGTTCAAATTTCAGCTTTGTCTATCGCGTTCGCTTTCGTACCAATGCACTTGAAAAAGGCATGAAAATTCTTTTCCAAGTATAAGATAAATAGCAGGATAGATACGGCTTTCTATGTATAAATTAGGTACAATAAGAGATTAACAAAGAAAGTAATAATAAAATTGAGTAAACCGCAAAAATAAAACGCAAAGTAAATACCTATATCTTTATAACACTTGCCACTGAGTGTATACTTTGAACTTTGTATTTATTCGCTTCACTCCGAAAGCAAATTCGTTATATAGTAATACTAATATTAGCCGTTTTCTCATAAAGAAACATTCGACATTCATTGACCAAATAGCCAGTGCTATAGTCATTTGAAATTTATAAAATCTTTCTATTAAAACAATTTTTCAGAGGAATAGCTTTCTCAGGTCCAGTAATTGTTATTGCTCTTTCCAATATTGAAAGAGGAATCTTTCAAAGTAATGTCGAACATCTTGATTAATCCAGAGATGGATATGCAATGTGATATGTCCTGATTGGACATCTCGTCTACAATCACTCTCTCACAGACGTGCTGTGACTTTCCTATGTCTTCTCTACAAGTTTTTTCATGGTTCCCAGACTGCATGAATTTAAGCGTGCTATTAAATTGGCATCTCGGTCCTAACGTTTCACTGTTGAAACAGTTAAATGTCTCTTCTACTCCAACAGATTCTTTTCTCACACTTATCGACAATGGAACTCTCTTTCTCTTATTTGCTTTCCTGATAGTTATAATCTTCAAATATTCTAGTGTAATGTCAATCGACATCTTCTAATGTCTTGATCCTGATCCCCGTCCTTCTCTATATCCTTTTCTCAAACACCCCTCTTTACACTTGCTCTCACTCTCTGTAACCCCTAAGGTGCTAGTGGCGCACCCGCTTTTCCATATATGCTTAAAAAATGCCATTATTTTCTCTTCGAGTTACATGTGCTATCCATTTTAATTGTTACTGGCATTAAAAGCCCTTACGTAGTGTGTTTGCAGTCATTTGATGTAGTCCTTTGTAATTCTGTAACCCCACTCCACAAGATACAAATGTCTCTAAGACCTTCAGAGTTTATCAGAGAAAGCGATTTTAATGTAGGGATCTACACTCACACGCGTACGTGAAGACAGTGACAAAAATTACTCATTCCAAAGAATCCATGTTACACTGCTGTCAAAATTCTCCAACCTTACCTCGTTGTGAAATGAGGATGTCCCAGGGTTGAAATCCCCAAAACGAGGCTCACTTTACCTCGGCCCGCGAAATTCCGAAAACTGACACAAGGTGCCAGTGTGAGAACTTTTATATGCCGTGACCCTTCAAGGCGCTAATGATCATGGCTCTCCACGACTTTCTGTCCCTTGTAGCTCTTAGTAACATTTATCTTTTTGCCATCGCTCTCACCCCCGTTCCACCATCTATTCAAGCTTTTCAGGTAAATGGCCTAGTGTCTCCCCATGTCTCTTTTACCTTTGATATGTCTTGTGAGTGTCAAATTATCCAAGCTCTCCTTCCTTATTATGTGTCCAAGAAATTTCAAAGTGATTTTAGTTATAAGTGTCCTTTTTATATCAATTTCCCTTAAGACATTTTTTTTACATTCACGCGTTCTGTTCATGGTATTCTCAATATCCTTCTGTAGAACCACATTTCTCTTTTCCCCTATCTTTTCTTCATCTGCATTCATCAAGGACTGATATTATATAGCAATGCAGTGGTATTTCCTTTGTTTCTAAAGAAATCTTTTTGTTTCTTAATACTTTGCTTAGCAATTTTAGCTATTCCAAAACGTGTTCGAATTTCGGTGTCAACTTTTCCATCCTCTGTTAAAACACTTCTCTGATATTCAAAATTTATATCATTTTGATATCTTCACTGCTTAGTCCGTATCTTGGATTTTTTTCTCTTGCTGATAATTATTCTAGTTCTCTAATACTTTTTGCTTTTCTTCACTATCCTGTTTAGATGGAATTATAGTTTTCTTCCCGTCGCTGCCATCTTAATTTGAGTACAAGTCCTTGATACTAGACAGAACCTCGGAAGAATAACATTTTCACCCTACACAAAGCGCACATATACTCTGTCCAAGGCAAAAGTACCGATCAATAACGAAACTGCCCGATCTTTCTCGGTGGGTGTTGTGCTGAAACACATGTTTACATGTCGAGAGCATCTACTGACATCAAGTGATGGCACAGATCTGACCCTGGCGGATACGAGGAAGTCTTTCAGGTCAACTTGCTGAGACACCTGGCTTCTCTGATGGACATTGAGTACAAAATCTATTTTGGCATCATCTGAGGTGAGACACATACTACATATCATTACATGAGAATAAAACGTGAAGAAATATTTTTGGTTGATGTTTTTTATCTGCAATGTGTATTAAGTGCAGTTACTACCCATGGTCACAAAGTATCATGAAGCCATCTTTAATTTAAGAGCATAATCACATTCATTATTATTATTATTATATAACTGTGCTTGTTCCTCCCTTCGTTACTTCCTTAGTTTGCACAACCGTTACACCCTGCCTATACCTCATAAATAATAGGCTATCATGTTTTGATCGCGAGGAAAGGCAAAAGACATATCAGAGATGCTACTTGGTTTCAGTGAAAAAAAGAAAGACATGTTTAACGTCTCCTGCTAATATCTCATAAATAATGAAATTTCGTTTTGATCACATGCAAAGACAAAAGACATATCAGAGACGCTACTGGGTTTCAGTGAGAAAACGACATAAAGAAAGGAAGAAGTGTTTAACGTCTGTTTTAGAGAGACAGAAAATGTTGTCACTTTCAAATATTTTCATTTGTAACTCCTTACTTCTTTAAATTCTTATTAATAATTGTTATTACAATATTTTTTTTTAATTTTTTAAGCTCAGATATGTAACGACGCGATTGAAGAATTTCTACGGATATTTTATTTTCGTAGAACTCGCAATCAGCTTACTCAATCATTCGCTAGAAATTTCAAACAGCAGCAGCATTATAAAGTAATTTTCCTCTGACTCTAAGTGTTCATCATTTTTAGGATTATTCTTGCCTTTCCTAATCACCTTCCTTTTGGTAACAGGTCCACTGGGCAATGCCAATTTTCTGTATCTATTCTATCAATCATCGTACCAAGTACACTAATGGCATTCTTCAACTTCAAAAGCCTTTTGAGTTTAAATATCAGTGGGTCAAAGTTGATTACTTTCTCTTCTTCTATTTGCTTTATCCTTTTAGCAAAAAGAAGAGACAAATCAATAATTAACACTTCTTTTTCAATGTTATTTTACTCCAATACGTTCGGGTTGTTGTTGATGGGGGATTCGTTTTCTACGACTTAAATCCAAATTTATTTTCATATTGCAAGAATTTTTTTTTATATATAATAATAATTTTAGTGATATGTTTTACTAATTAATCCATAGCTGGGGGGTAGAAGAAGTAGATTCATATCTTTCCCAAGGGTATTTTCGCGTAAGTGAATATAACGAACCCAACTGGAATTCGAACGGCTCTCTGACTAACAATTCTGAGCTATTATCCATTACACCACCTGCACATCCAAGCTTACAGCACCCGGTATTCTCAAGTGATCACCCATCTAAGTACTGACCACACTCGACGTTGCTTGACTCCGGTGATCGTACGGGAACCGGGGTTTCAATGTGATATGGCCATAAACAGGTTTGTTCTGCTTCTGTTTCTTATCTGTTTGTACTGAAAAATCGCACAAAATTTTACATGTAACTGACTCTAGACATCAGCTACAAGTGGGTTTATTGATATGCCACTTGTTTGAGATTTCTACTCCAAGATAATCTCCAAAGATAATCTGAAGAAACTGCCATGTCAATAAGAAAACATTTTGTTCTCTATGGTCTTTGATCACGATGTTTGGGCGATTAGCTTTCATTGTCCTGTCTGTGTGTATTGTAAAGTCCCATAAAATTGTAACAGGTTCTATCTCTGTAACCCGGTCTGGCTGATGTTCATACCAGTTTCTTGCAGTTTCATTCCAGTAAAGGTTGCATATTTTCCATTGCAAATATTGACCCATTCTGTCATATCGATTTTCATATTCAGTAGGTTGTAACACTGTGCAACCTGATACAAGATGATCAGTTGTTTCTGAATATTTATCAGAAAATCTGCATTTCAGATTAACACAAATTTACAAATTTTACCCCTACACTACATAACCACTTATGGATCCGGGGTTTGTCTACATCAGCTTGTTTGGTACGGGCAGAGTATTGACTATGAAGAGGCTTATCTTGCCATCGTTTCTGCATTAGGTCCATTACATTTGTTTTTGCTTACTTTTTAAGCCCTTTGATGTTGCAGTAGGTGTATTATGGTTTACTTACACTTTATTCACCCACTTGGAATTCAATTTTGAATTTGTTGGCTTCCTTTATTACTGAATAAAGTTTCTTATTTCTTTCATGTTCTTTGACACTGACTATCACCCAGTCTTCTGTAGCTTCTAGATATTCTGGCTTTGTAAAAAAAATTCTAGTTGAACTAATCCCTTGCCTCCTTCGGATCTGGCTACAAACTGACGATCAACATCAGCCTTAGGATAATGCATGCGGTGGCAAGTGAGAAGCTTTCCAGTTTTGACATCCATTCGTTTAATGTCATCTATGGTCCAGTTAAGGATACTGGAACCGTATTGCACCACAGGGACAACCAAAGTGCTCATGGCTGATATTCTGTTTTGTGAATTTAACTCGGTATTTAATACACGCTTGTAGTATTCTTTTCTTACTTTCTCCTTAGATATCAGTATGCTATATTCCATTAGCTGAGTCCTAGGTATTTATAGGCTTCTTCTTGTTCCAGTTCCTTAATCTTTGTTGCCAAAATCTAGATCTATTAAGTGCATTTCTGTAATTCACCCTTTCTTGAATGTTACTTTTGCACATTTATCTAATCCGAAATCCATCCCGATGTCATCACTGAAACAATTTACAATACTGAGGATACTCTTCAACTTCTTGTCGTCTTTGGCAAAGAGTTTGATATCATCCATGTAGAATAGGTGAATAAACACTTTCTATTCTCTTTTTACTTTGTATCCATAGTTATTACTGTTTATTTCATGAGAAAAGGGATTAAGGAGACACAAAACAGAAGGGGCGACAAGGAGTCTCCACGAAAGATTCCACGTCGAATATTTAAACAGTTGGAAGTGGCAGTACATGAAAAAAGATAACCTATGATCACACATATCTACATAGATAAACTCCTTCGTAAGATGTGCTCTGTACTTGTGAGTACACTTTTTGTATTTCTTTAAAGCATGAGCTACCAGTGATCGGTTCAATGAGTCTATTGGAACTTTTCCCAAACAAACTGAGTACTCGAACTACTATTATTATTATTATTATTATTATTATTATTATTATTATTATTATTATTTCCTTTGATTTCTGGTGTGTAATCATTTCTTTCCGGGTCCCGACCAGAGACCTAAGGTCAGAAATGAATCATGACATTTTCCACTGAGCAATTTAAAAAAGTGCTTATGGCTGCTAAATTAACATCAGACACGCACACACCTGTAGTATTCTATTCTTGCTTTCTCCTTTATTTGGGTATAATGTATTCTATCTCCTTCGCTGACTCTAAGGTATTTATAGACTTCGTCTAATTGAGGAATCAGAGAGCCAAGTTCAAATTCCAGTCGAATCCATTACGTTCACTTATGTGAACCATTGGGAAAGATGTAAATCCTCTTCTTCTACCCCCAGCTATGGGTAAATAGCAGGACAGATCGGGTTCTATAGCCTTGGATGGCAACTGGTCTACCGCAGAAAAAAGTGGCGACCTACAGTGAAAAAAAATCAAAAAATACATGATCGCCTAAGCGTGTATCATACATGGCACATAACTGACTGACTTGTTCCAGTTCCCTAATCTTTCTGACAAAATCTAGATCTATTGAATGTGTTTCTGTAATTCTCCCTGTCTTGAATGTTACTTTTGCACATTTATCTAATCTGAAATCCATACCGATGTCATCACTGAAACAATTTACAGTATTGAGAATACGCTTCATTTCATTGTCTTCTTTGACAAATAGTTTATCATCTTTTTTTACTCTCTATCTAAGGTTATTACTGTTTACTTCATGCAAAAAGGGATTAAGGACAGACAGAACAGAAGAGCCGATAGGGAATCTCTTTGAAAGATTTCCCCATTGAATATTTAAACAGATGGAAGTGGCAGTACATGAAAAAAGATAACCTACGGCCACACATATTCTAAATATAAAAAGCCCATCATAAGATGTGATCTGTAGTTGTGAATACATTTTCTGTATTTGTTTATGGGATGGGCTACCAGGGATCGCTTCAATGTGTCACTATCGGAACATTTTCGAAACAGAGGACTACAATTATTATTATTATTATTATTATTATTATTATTATTATTTCCTTTTGATTTCTGGTGTGTACTCATTTCTTACCTGGTCTCGACCAGAGACTTAAGGTCAGAAATGGCATCATGGCATTTTCCACCAAGCAATTTAAAAAAAAAAACATCACACATATTTTGCATAGATAAATCCCTTCGTAAGGTGTGGTCTGTACACGTGAGAACAATTTTATTTCTTTTGTTATTATTATTATTATTATTATTTCATTTTTTTTCTTAAGCAGTCTTTATAATGTACTTTAACGATAAAGAGCGGGTTATAAATAATGAACCTACGTCGTCTGATGTCATCACTTTTCTCCATAAACAAAAGCTTTCTCTCTGAATCCTGATTATCCAAAGCAGTACTCTTTTCTGAAATCTCTCAGTTCGGATCACAGTCTTAATTTTGCAAAGTCGTTCAATGTATTTTGCCCGTTGCTGTTCGAAGGGAGCCTACAAAACAGCCACTCTCTTCTCGTGTCTAAATTGCAATTACGTCCCCTGGTGACCGCTATATCGATGATCTTCAGTCTGGACAATAATGATGCATGACTTCCTTATTTCAACTTCACTATCACATTGCACAGATACTGAATATTTTTTTAGAATGTTCACCTTAAGATGTTCGTCAAAATTACAAACAATTGTAATAACACTTTTTTTTTTACATTGTATCCATGGTTATTACTGTTTATTCCATGAGAAAAGGGATTAAGAACAGACAGAACAAAAGGGCCGACAGAGAGTCTCTTTGAAAGATTCCTCATCAAATATTGAAACAATTTAAAGTGGCAGTACCTTTAGTGTGATTTAGATATAATGTGGTTTTTATTATTATTATTATTTTAATGTTCATGCGTATGAAAGCTGCGGAACTTTGCTGATTATATGGTAAAAAGATTACAGTGTGCACATATTTAAATAAATTCAGCAAAAAAGAAAAGCAGCTTAGGAAAGTTGGTTCACTGTGTTGAGCTAGACAATTTTTCTCGCCAGAATCTATCTTACATATTTATAAGATTTACCATTCGTCCTTACTTTGAATATTATTGCCACAACTGATCTGGTGCTCCTGCTATATATTTAGAAACCCTTGATAAAATCCAAAGAATCTGCAATATTATTGGTCTTAACCTGGCACAAAAATTTTTTAATTTTTTTTTTTTTTTCATCTGTGCCTTTTCTATAAATACTTTCATGGGAAGTGTTCTCATGGACTTTTCTTTATGGTACCTAGATTTAATGATTTCAAGCGCAGTATTAGATTGGCAGCAAGGGCTCATTAATTTACAGTTGAAATGGCCGCTATATCTAACCGTAAGTTCTATGCTAACAGTTTCTTCTATCATACTTCTCGCTTGTGGAACTCTCTTCCGGCCTCTTCCTTCCCAGTCAATTTTCATCTTCAAAAATGTATCAAAAATGTCAATCGTTATATTCTGTATTTTTAATTCTTGCTCTTTTATTATCCTCTCTCCATAATAGTAATTTTATCATATTCTCTAAATCTCATTAAACCCTTGCGTCTTAGTGGCTTTATTACTTGTGGTGAAATGATTAAAAATAACATGAAGATAACATTGACCGTGATAATTTGGACTACGATAATCATAATATGAACTTTCCGTACTGTTGCCTTTCTAAATCGGGGACCAATATAAATTATATAAATTATCAGAAAGGAACGAATAAGGAAGTAAGAACAAGAATAATTAATCAAAGAAAAAGGGAAAAATAAAGAAAACTAAGAGAAGATAATAGTAAAGTTTGCTATAATAACAAAGGAAAATGGTTTCAGGAGAAATATTATGAATGAAGCCAGAAGAAATAGAAAAAAATGATAGGGTTTTTTTTATCATTTCACCTCAAGCAAGGCGAGAATGCCCCTAATATGCAAGAGTTGCAGGGAGTGAAAATGAAAAAGCAGACTGAGAGTAGGGAGGATTGAGAGAAGAACAAAATGAACTGGGTTCAAGGAGACAGGAGATGGCGATTGACGTTACATAAAAATTTTTTAAAGAATGTAGTTATCAGGGAAGCAAGTAAACGGAAGGGAGTTACACAGGCGGAAAGTGCGAGAAAAGAAACTGTTGTGGTAGAAGTGGCGTTTGCATTTAGCTATTTCAACAGTAAAAGAGTGGGACCTAAATGCCAATCTAGTAGCGCGCTTAAATTCATGTAGTCGAGGTGCCAAGGAAATAAATCTCGTCAGAGCAGTTGCCTTGAAAAACTTTACGGAAAATATAGAGGGAA